AAGAAACACCACCACCTAAACTATCATTCAGGTGAAAAGAAAAAGAAAAATTAATTTCAGAAGTTGGCTTATTGGTGGCTTCAACATGCAATACTGCAAATACTGCCAAAAGGAGCAGGGGAGAAGTTAACTTGCCAGCTTTAAATAATTTTTTAATGCTGGCATACAGGCATGCTTACTATTTTAATTCAGGGCTTAATACCAGTTTTGTGAAAGAATGATGGTCAAGAATCAAAAGCATAAGTAGCTTTACTTGTTACATTTTGAGAAAATCAAGAAAGCAAAACAGAGCCCCTCAAATGCTGTGGTGGTCATCAGGGATGAATGATCTGAGCAAAAGAGCACTTTTTCTCGTTGCGAATCTTTCGCTTCCAACGGTAGCCCATTAAACTTAATGATCAATCCTTATTCGACCCTCTTCTCATTGTCTAGTTACTAACTAATCATTACCATGTTTCGTTTTTTGTCTGTACAGTTTCAGGTAGTAGCCGTTGGCGCAGATTTGGGATGTGCTCACTGCCGACAGAGAGTAACACAAGTCACAACGAGGATGTCAGGTCACTAAATACGAGCTATAATAATATTTACACATTCATGAGTTATATAGTTTATGTTGAAATGAGCTTGAGGAACCGACTATTATATCTAACACGATTATAGCTATTCGTGCAGGGTCGAAGGAGTTTGCTGTCGATGTCTGCAGAAAACAAGTTATTATTACCAGTGGCACGAAATGTATAAAACGTAAAGTGGCAAAGCATACCGATGCTGAAGAGAAGAGAATAAAAAATCCTTCGGTTTTCGAAAGTCTGTACGATTTCTTGATTAGGAGAGGCCTTTCTTTGTGCAGATCAAATGTATAAAACGTAAAGTGGCAAAGCATGACGATGCTGAAGAGAAGAGAATAAATTCGGTTTTCGAAAGTCTGTACGATTTCTTGATTAGGAGAGGCCTTTCTTTGTGCAGATCACTTATTTGCTGTAGGAAATGAAAGTTAGTATGACATATTCCAATTATTTTGCTGCTTTTGCTGAAATTTTCGTGTTGGTTTGGATTGAAAGTCGCTCTTCAAATATTGTGGTTAATGAAAAGAATAAAAAGATGAGCAAACCACATCAGAACAAGAAAAAATGGCTCGAAATTTCATTAATTTTCCTTGATATACAATACAAAACAATGAAGAGAGATGGGAGAACGGAAAATTCTATGATAATATATTTCAATAAAAATTCCAACGGATATTCGAATAGTATAGCTGATTCCAACGGAATATTTCGTTGGAATGTGTTTTTCATTAGAATTTTAGATGGAATTTGATGATTCCAACGGCTATATTTCCAACGGTTTTTTACTGTAGGAATTTTCGTTGGAATTTTTATTTTCACCCCGTCGGAAAATCTACCGTTGGAATCGTCAAAATCCAACAGAAATTCCAATGGAAAACTCATTCCAACAAAATATTTCCATTGGATAATTCCAACGGAAATAATAGCATTAAAATATCTATTAGAATTGCCGTTGAAATTTTATTAGAATATATTTCCGTTAGAATTTTATTATTTTCATGTAGTGAATACGCAAATAACACGAATACAAATGAACGGATAAAATAACCTAATGGACCGAAAAAACTATGAAACGAATTCAAACATAAACTAAAAAGAAGAGCATTAAAATACTAAAAAATACCAATAAAAACATACACATCTTATTTTGTGCACAAATAATTCATTAAAGTGTGTGTATAGTAGTTTCCTAATGTCTCGTAAGGCAAAATTAGTATCTCCCACGATTTTCTTATAATGCCTCATTTTCCAGTAAGGTTACGCTGGAATGATCAAATCATCTTATTCTAGGCAAATTAAAAAAAGGATTTATCTAGCTATGAATTAGATTACTCGTATTTAATAAACTTAGTTATTACAAATCTTTTCAATGGAGTACATATATTCCGACTTCCACAATGAAATGAACACACAAGAAATAAATAAACAAATTGAAAAAANAGATAAAACATGAAATTCTGATATTTAGCATCTAATTGATATCAAAATCCTCACAATTATGCAAAACATTATGTGATCCAACACAATCATGGGCAAAAATTGAACGTACAAGCACCCCTAAATCTTACTCAAATCATTTGAAAAATCTTGAAAAAAATAAAAAATAAAAAAATCACTATAAATACAAAACAAACCATGTAGAGAGCCACTCTCCAAGAACAAAAAAGGCTGATATACAAATAATGTCCAAGTCTCTTTCTTTGGCCTTGGCATTATTACTCTTACTATTATGTACTTACAAAGCCGATAAAGTTCAAGAGAAAATAATGAAGAGAAGCCCCCACATCGGGTCACGGCCCCCAAACTGCAAGAATAAGTGCCACCTGTGCTTGCCGTGTAGGCCGGTTCTCCAGATTCCACCGCCTACAGATTCCGGCAACAATGACGATGATGACTATACACATCATGAGTATTATCCCGAGAGGTGGATGTGCAAATGTCATGGCCACTATTATAATCCGAATAAATTCGCAAATTAGGCTATATTTGTATTCTTTTTACTCAACATAATTCGTGAAAAATAGAAGAAAGAAAGAAAGAAAGAAAAGAGGGTGTGTTGATTGATTTGGGAATGTTTTACTCATCTCTACTTTCACTGTGGTTTAAAACAATTTTTTGCATTCAATTAACTAATTTAAAAAAGGAAATTCATTATACGAGTTTTTGGAAATAGAATATTGCAATTTGAGTTATTCCTACTTAATTTTGAAAAAAAAATAGTATGATTAGTTGTTAGTGCGATTTTGAGTTTTTATTAACATAATATTTAAAATGAAATAATTAAAGTTGATTTGAGTTTAGTCGATGTCAGGGTAGCACCCACATCCATTAAATGTGTGATTACAACACATGGGGTATGTGTCACACATCCAATAGATGTGGATGCCACTCTTAAAGGTTGCATCGAGTTAACCGTTAATTTGATGTAAAAGTATGAGAGATGATGTGAAGTAATGATTAGTTAAAATAATGCGAGTTGATTAATAGTGAATTAAAGTTGATATGATACGCAAGAAGTGTTTGATTGATATTGTTTAATTATATTGATAATATTTAGGATAATAAAATTGAGTTAACATTGAGTTAAATTTTGAGTATGGATTGAATATGAATTGAATTTATTTTTAAACAAATACATCCTAAATTCAACCAAAGACTTATACATATAAACTAATCCAATCAACTATCAATTAATTGAATCAGTACCCTTAATTCAACCAAACACTTATACATATGAACTAATCCAATCAACTATTGAATCAGCTATCCGCTAAAGTGTCACAGCATATATGTTGTGAAATCAACTTTTCCCCCAAAGATATGCAAAGATATACTCAGTTGTTTAAAAAGATGTATTCACCACACACTTATACTTTGTGAAATCAACTTTTTCCCCCAAAAAGCCATTTTAAACAGCTGAGTTACCAAACAACTTTTTTAGCTGTTTTAGATGGTAAAACAGCTAAAATGGTTTCAAACAGCTAAAACCTAGACAAAAAGCCATTTACCAAACAAAGCCATTGTGATATGTATTCACAACTGAGTATATCTTTGTATATAGTTCTCCTTTCAAGTAAACCCAACCAAGTAAGAATAGCATACAATTTGTTGTTTTTTTCTGGATAAATAAGTAAACCCAACCAAGTAAGAATAGCATACAATTTGTTGTTTTTTTCTGGATAAATTATGCGAACATCAAAAGATGGACAAGACTAGAAAATTAAATAGATATTAAATAATTAAACATATCCATGCCCGTCTAAAGCGACAACAATCTGGTTCCAAAACCCCTTGCAGAATACATAAAAGCCTAAAAATGTCATAAAATGCAACAAACTCGAACATCGAGCACAAGAACAAGAATTCAAAACAAAATAACACCCCTAGGAGCAGAAACTTCCATTTTTCGGACAAGGAAAATACAAAAGCTCTTACTCTCACATAATACAACAGTTTTGTTGAGACTCGAGCATCTCTGGAGACCTGCACGAGGCAAGGCGAATGTTTCATTATTGTATCAGCAATGTCGAGATAGATTTCAGAGGGACAGGAAAAAGTTGGCCAACAAGCCATAACAAACATAAAGAGGGTATTTTTATTATGTTTCAAATGTTTGAACAGCATGAAGTAACTTAGATGTACTCACAATTGTCCAAAAGTTGATAGATCTAATCCTGGAGCAAGTTCTTGCATAATATCATTAGGTGGTTGGCCACACTCTTGCATCTTCTGCATGAGCTCAACAATCTTGTTGAAGTTATCAGGCTCAGTTTCATACACTTGGTTTAGATCTTTTATGAGCTCGTATTGGTGAGAATATTGTGCGTATTCTGCATCTGTTAGTTTAGATTTGTTCTCTTGTAACCATATTGGGTACCGTTCACCAATTTCTTTCATAGGTTCATGAAGGATTTCCTTGGAGAGAAGCTGTTGCATCATGGTCTCCACAATTGACTCCATATCCTGCATATAAGAGCCCAGAGTATTATTTATAATCACCCAGTTATCGTAAAATAACTAATAAACATAACAGAACNAAAAAAAAAAAAAAAAGAATAAAAATGTAAAATGACAAACATAACTAATAAAATTTCCTGATAAAAGCAATTACTGAGTGTGGGAAATGGTATTATTCAGTTGTAGATAGGTCTTTACTAGTCATCTATTTACCAATTGCTGCAGACATCCCTAACTTGGAAAATATGATTCCTAGGCAGTTAATTTATGGCAGAAAAGTAAGCAGGACGGAGTTCAATATCATCAGATGCAAGTAGTCATAACTCTATGACTGTATAGAATGTGAAGCAAGAAGTTAGTATATAATACTTAATTACCTATGTTTGTTATGGTTTTGAACAGTTACAAACAATTTGAATGAAGAGCCGGAAAACGTATCCATTCCCGGTACCTCAGGAAACTATCAACTTCACTTAAATATCAACTTTAACTTGAATCATACTCTTACCACTCAGCTTGCATTATGAGAAAACAAGCAAGAATTGAAAAAAGAATAAATAAATAAATAACAACACAAACCTGTGTTCCGGCAAGCTCTTCAAAATGCTTGACCCAATCCTCTATCATTGCATCACCTCCAAGGTCTCCTTCAACTGGTGGTTTGGGCCCAGACACCGATTCTAACCCTTTAACAGCCTCTTTTGTTTGCTCTCTCAGCTTATCGAGCGCCTCAGAAATATGTGATTCCTGCTTAGGCAGTGAAACTTTTTGTTTGCCCTTTTTCTTAATCTTCAAATCAGGCAACCCCATCCCCAATCCTTGAACGCTTCCACTCATCATTGTAGAGCTCTCTTTCTTTCCCTCTCCTAGGTTACCATCATTATTACCCGAGCCTCTATAGCCCAGTAAAAGACAACAATGAACACAAATAAAAAAATTATAACCTTATGGAAAAGGAGAAAAGAAAGTGAACAAAGGGGAAAAGGCAGAGCGGCATCTTCAGTCTTGAGTCATGACTCAAAAGTCAAAACCAACCGCCAAAATGACAAAGTAACTTTTAATGTCTTACACCACCAAAAAGTAAGATGATGGTAACAACAGCAATAACAACAAATGATACATATTTTAGAGAGGGCAAATATACCTTTGTGCGGAGGAGGTGAGATTAAGGTTCTGAAAATCATCCAATGCACCTGATTTTTTTTTTCAAAGCATTTAAAAATCACTACCTTTGTCCATAACTATCAAAATTTCAACTGAAGTAGGGACAAAATATTTTTAACGAGAAAAAGGTTCTCTTACTGTCAAGGAGTTGATCCAAATCATCCGAGTGATCAGCCATGAAATTTCTTTCCCCAAATCTTTATCTTTTGCTCTTTTTGAACTCCCTCTTCAACTTCTACAACACTAACCCTATTTCTATTGACAAAATATCTAGCTGCACCAGAATTAAGTCGATCAGTCAATATTTGAAGGGACACTCATGTTTGGACGGGTTAACCAACAAAGGGAAGTTACAGCTACAATCGTAAATTTTCCATGGACAAAAACATTCTTTTGTGATTTAAGTTTGACTGCAGATTATCTTTTAATCATTTGCGGGACTCTTTCCCAAAGTCGAACAAAAATTTCATAAAAAAATGGTAAAAAATGGGTTTCTACTTCCAAAAAAGAAAGCCCATCACAATCAGCCAGTTCTCAGCAAGCAAAAACCCAACTAAGGAAAAAATCTTCATCTCACGTCAACAATATTTTTCAGAGGTTAAATCAAACCAAAAAAACTCACTTACGAAGAATTTTCTGAATTTTCCAATTCAGAGCTTAAATCAAACTAAAAAGTCACACCTTTGCAAGAATTTGACGATTCTGGGTAGCAAGAATTTTCCGATATCTCAGCAAACAGGTTGCAGGTCGAAGTCGAACGATGATTACCTTGGTCGGATTATGTCTTAATCTGTTTCAGTCCAGGACCAGGAACACAGACGATAACGAGCAGTACTGCAGATAGCCTTCTACAAGACTATAAATATATATTTTTTTGTGGGAAGAAAAAATAGAAAGGGAAAAATATAAAGATAAATTAATTAATGCATACAAAATTAAATAAAAATTAATTAATGTGAGGAATTTGATTTGGTTTGGTAAACAAATTAAGAAGATTAGGGTTTGTGTATACATTTAAACTAGTACAGAGCCTCGTGCGATGCACGGGGTGCACAATTTTAAGGCTATTTTATATAAATGAATTAAAAAAAAAAAATATACGGGATATATATAGTACGTGACCCGTGCGAAACACGGAATATATTTATTTGGAGAATATTATATTATAAGATGCAATATTCAATAAAAGTTTATAATACGCAAGAAAATTGTACGTTCAATAAAAGTTTTATAATATTCAAGTGGAGTCTTAAAGTCTCTTATACATTAAGTCTACTGACAAAATAATATTTTAATCAATGAGTTTCCTTTCCTTGTAGCCAAATTGTGAATGTGATTTGAGGAGTACAACAAATCGATATATAGCTGACTTGTTTTTTTCATTGTATTTTTTTTTCTTATAATGAATTTAAAGATATTCTAAAATATAGCAAAAATTAATTTTTTTATTACAATTAGAAATTTTACTAAATATAGACTCTCAATCTATAGTGTTAATCAACGTTTAAGTCTAAAAAATTAGGAATTTTTACCTCTTTTAATCAACGTTTAAGTCTAAAAAAACTAGAGTTATTATAAGTTTTTTCTACATCTTTTTAAACATTAAATATGAGCATGTTAGGGCTAACTTGTAAATTAATAAAATGTGATACACATTATCTAACTTATAATTTTAAAAATTACATACGTAGACACATAACATATAGAATTTTTGTTGCATTATTTACATTTATGCCTGTGCACAGAATTTGATACTAATATGTAGGAATGCAAATTGAATCATAACTCAGTTGATTCAACTAATATAGGCAAATAATATTGTACAATACATATTAAATATTATACACATCCCACAATATAAACAAACTAAAAGTGAATATTAACCAAAAAATACCCACAAAAAACTAAGATATCTATTTATTTCATTTTTTATTTTTTTTTATTTTATTTTATCAGTGTAATTTTATATAAAAATTAACATGTTTATTTAGAAAATTGTTATTCATCTACTCATATTTTTTATGTCAGTAATATGAATATCTCCATCTCACACTATTCAAATTTAACTCCAAAAAAATCATTTTATGCGTGTTTGAAATTATAGTTTATGTCTCACACTATTCAAATTTAACACTTACAAAATTTTGAAAGTTTTTGAAATTATAGGAAGGAAAAGTGTTTGAAATTATATGCCTCCAATACTTTATCTTATATATTCATAATCTTTATCTTAAATATTTCTTCTACAATGTTTTATATAATTTGAACTATTAGGAAGTTGCTCTCCATATATCTGATATATAAAGGAGGTTGAACTCTTACAATCTCAACATGCCTTATACATATATGATCCAACGATAAAAATAAAAGAAAAAAGAAAAAAATTCCTACAATCATTGATATTGGTATGGACTAGCACTCCTATATTATTAGAAGCAAGTCATACAACACTTTACAAGTTTCATGTTTTATTTATATATATATAAACTTGTTTTTTCTTTATATATATTTATATTTGCCGGTTCACAAATTTTATTGTGGAGCGGTTTAATAGTTATTGGGTCATTCCGTCATACTTCAAGAAAGAAAAAAATATGTTCAGATTGTAAAATATCATTATTTTTTTTCATGTTATTTTCAAAGTATATCATTTGGTGATGATCAATGCATATTTGTTCAGTATGCCTAAATACAACGCTTGTTCAACGCTTATAAAGAGAGCCTACAAATGGTAACAAAATTCTGTAGTTCAAACTTCAAAATACATCATAAGGAGTCACTCAGATCAGATCACACACTTTGGGGAGGGATTTACCAAGGCTTGATGGCTAGACACTGGATTAATAAATAATCTGCTGAATAATCTTTCTCTTCACAATACACACAGATACAGAATGTTTTTATCCAAGCTACAAAAGAATGTTGATAAAGCAAATATCGTCGAGCTTACCAAGACGTACCGTTTACCTAAAACAGAAGAAAACATCGGCTGCTAACACGAATCCGAGACATAAGATTTGTCCTCAAGAACTTCCCTTTTTGTTCCGACACGCTTTCATAAGTGAGTGTGGGGGTGAAGTAAGACAAATAGAATATAAAAAAGCTGAAAAACGAGATGCTACCGAACGATTTATGTCCTTTTCATGAGGTACCCCAAAATTACACCCACCAAGCCGATTATGATCACGAAAGTCATGGATACTCCTCCACTTTTGTTACTTTTGCGTTTCAATAGTTCCTACAACACGCAATGCTGTACGATGAGAAAATACCAGTGTAATAAATTAAATGAGAAAAAAAAAAAGATTTGAGTGGTACCAAGCGCATGCAAATAGAATGAACGGCTTAAGCAAAGCAGTAGAAGGTTAAGGGGATGATGGATCAAAATATCAATTCCAGCCGTAAATCACTTTGCTCCGTATCACGTTATATTTTGAAAAGGGGGGACGAGATTAACAGAAACTCACCAATTCTTGACGAAATTTGTTGCCTCGTTGAATGGCAGCAGCTTTTTCCTCTGTCAATTTTGAAACGAGAGACTTCACCTGAGAATCAAAACAACGAAAAGAGTGGTCAAGCCTAAAAAAATGTGGCACACCAATCAGAAGGCAGCATTATGTATGTGCGTAGAGAAATACTGAATCTTCTAATGTTATGAGTACATAACACCCTTGAACGTGAAGGGAGAGCGAGAAAGGGCCTTTTACCTCTGGTAATTTGTCTTGACTATCAACATAAGTGCGAGTACCCTGCAGTTTCAGGAAAAACAATGAAAAAAGAAAAATAATGATAAGAAAATGACTATATTTTTTTTTATGTATATATGGTGAAATTAGCTGGTGTGAAAGAGATCTAATGAAGTTGCCGAAATTGAAATTGAAAATCCCATAAATTGTCAATCAAACCTCAACTCCATTTTCTAAGGCAGAGACTCCTTGGGAAAATCCTTCTTCAGATCCCTCGGAAACTTGGGACGGTGGTTGACGTGGTGCAACATAGACCACTTTCAACTTGCACTCTTCAACATTCCCTTGCTCCTTGTTAAACTGAAAACCCAAACACCATTCCATAGGTTATAATCTTCAACTTAAGTAAATGAATGCCGCATCCACCCCCAATCCAGCGTAAGTTTAAAAAAGAAAATGATTTTACTGATTGTTTGTACAGTTACACAGTCATCAGACAATTTACGACCTCACCCTACACCTGAGAACAAAGACATCATGAGCCAAGGTCGTTTTACTCATAATTCTTTTTCACGAAAGGGTAGCTTGTTTGCAGGTTCTACATGTGATCTCAACTATTTTTTAGCTCAGAGAACTTCTCATTTTCCGCCGAGCATTTACAAACAAATAACAGTTAACTCCATCTGTTCTTACGCACGTCATTGCACAGAATAAATGCTTGCACTTGATTGATTGTATTCGCTAAGATGTTTATACCTTTAGCTCAAACATCAAGTAACATCTTCATTCATTTTGAGAACAACCACAAACCAGACTTTGAATAAAAAGTCTTAAGACTGATTAGAGTTTTTACGCCGCTGTCACTTTAAGAGAATACCATTTCTGGATAATTTTTTTTCCCACACTGGTGCAATTCTAGGCTCTGGCGTTATTATCACAATCAATCGCTGTATAGTAGGTAAGTAGACAACAACTTGGATAGGTATTCTAATAAAAGAGTAACCATTTCTGCAGTTATATCTTTTGGAGTTGCATCAGAGTTGGCAACTACACTCTGAAGCAAAAACTTGTCCTTGCACTGCATATCTGCAGGAGCCTCCTTCTGGGCCTGCATTGTGACTATAACAGACATGGGAATTTATAATAATAATTTTAAGAAAAAAGAAAGNAAAGTAAAAAACTAAAAAGGGACAAAATAGACTAAGATGATTTTAAATTTTCTAAAACTGTTTTGTTGCTAAGGACCTGTCCATTGCAAATGGTGGTGGAAGAGTCATTGTTGACAATTCTCCTGGCATAGTGCTAATAATGGACTAGATCAAAATGGCTCAATTAAATTCTAGTGCTTCTTCTATTAGTGAAGTTTCTAGAAAAAAAAATATTTATCAAACGGCGTAATGCACCTTGGGTCGCTACGGAAACAGCCTTCTTGTATAATTATAAGAGTAAGGTCTGCGTACAACTGACCCCCCAGACTCCAACCTGTTGGGAATATACTGGGTATGTTGTTGGTGTTGTTGTTGTTTTATTGCTAAGGACTAAATCAAGCATGTTGCATTTTGTTCGTTTCAGTGAAAGGCAAATGCTTCATGGTGATCCGATCCACTTGTCCTTGAAATTTGCAAACTCTTCCATCACTCTTAAAATAACGACATCAGCTTTTTATGTTCAAAACAAAGCTGTTCTTGGAGCAACTTCATTTACGCCTCACTTTTTTCCGTCCCAAATAATTCAAAACGTGGTTTTCGGTAATCACGTGCCTTAAACATCTGATGTAAATGATAGCCATGTCTCTAAATGCTTAGTATTCCTCTTATCCCAGTTATATGGTAATTTTTTTCCAAACACTGTACTAAATTGTTTTGGCCAGACAAGTTAATGAAGACATACTCAATATGGTGATGAACATAATTATGGAACGCAAAAGAAACTAGTACGAGGTTCCAGTTAGCCAAAATTTTTTTAGTGTTACATACTTAGCCAACCATAGCTAAAAACATCATATTACGTCCTTAATGTACAAACTGAACTCATGCTCCATGAGCAAAACATATTACAATATATAGGAAAGTACCATACCACCCGACTCATGAACGACTTTGCTTAGAAACAACCATGAATATTAAAGAGATTTCCCAGTTTAATCACAATAAACCAGACAAAACTTGTTATGAACACTATAAAATGGCAAAACAAAATTACCAACAATGTCGCACGTAGAACGGGGCAAAACGATCCCCGTGTTTGGCCGAACACAATATTTCTTGGGATTGGTCGTCTTAACCTAAGTAATCGAAAACAAACAGCAAAAGCGCACCCTTTTTTAATCCATTTCATAAAATAACGAGCAAATAAACAGAACACCAAAAACCCAAATCAAGGGATATACAAATTCACCTTGAAAGCGACATGATTGTCGGTTTTGTTCGACACTTGCAGAGAACAAGAGATCTGCTTCTTCAGCTCAACTAATCATATCAACAAAACCCAGAGAAAAAAAGAACAAAGTAAAATAAAATGAAGCACAAGGAGTAACTCCGGGCCCGAAAATGAAAATAGCGCAATATTTAATTGAACTGAGATCGAAAAATGAAAATGGCGCAACATGATTGAGAGAGCACTTACATAGGAATTTCATTTCCAATGGCTCGACGCTGAGAAGCTCCCCAGAACTCATTTTCTTACAGTTAATTGATACACCAAAAATTAATGAAATTTGATCAGGGTGAAGAGAAAAGAACATTACAGTTATAAATCCGTAAGAAGAAACACTTGAAAGAAAAATAAAAAATAAAAGATAAAAAAAAATTAGAGGTGATCCGAAAACTGCTGGATGTGAGCTGGGGGAGGGAAATGAGTGTGGTAGTTTTCAGCTTTGAATCTATGTGAAAAAACTAGAAATAACAAATTCAATACATGTCTTTTATTTTATACTCCAAAATATTCATTTTTATGTGCCGTGCATAAATTCAATAATCCACTATTTAATAACAAGATCTAAGGAATAAACTTTTAGGTAATTACGTTTGTGTTAATTAACAAATTTGTATATAACACTCCTAATTAAGGTTAATTTCTAGTGTTTCCAACGCCCTGTGAATTTCACCTTAGTTGGTTTGTGAACCGTTATATCAATATACACTAGCATAAGTATATAAACGCACACAATCCTTAAGTTTGGATCTACCCGTAGTGGTAGAAACAAATTAGCCACTATCTTCTTATGATTTGATCAACCATTACATAACAATCTAATATCTTTTTTATGATATGTTAATTTCAAAAACTAGTATTAAGTATATTTTTGTAAAAACATAAATTCAAGAATTTATCTTCCCAATAATTTATCAAATTATTAGTTATATCATATAAATATATTTAACTTGTACTCAACACATTATATTTGAGTGATTCAATCAATGACATGCACGTTTTATTTTCCATCCCTGAATTAGACTCATTTGAAACAAATTAGGGTTATTATCCAACTTGTCGATGGTATTACTATTATTTTTTATGGTATTATTGAGAACGTTCTTGTGAAAGTTAATGATGTAGTATTTTCGTGCAATTTTAGTGTGCCGAACAAGGTTGATAGGTCCTCGAACTCCACCCCAATTTTGTAGGAAGACTATACAAGAATTGATGTCCGACAGGACACTCTTACAACGGAGTTTTATGGGCATGTCAATAAGTTCAATATTTATTTATGCTATAAAATATCCTAATTGTGATAATGTTATTTATTTATTATTGAACCTTTAGCACAATAGTTTTTGGAGAAACATAGCCGGGATGATTCGTTGTCACGATCATAACCCCATGTTTGGATGTGATTAGGAGATGTCCTTGTTGAAGGTGCTGAAAGGTAACAAAACGGGTGATTGGATGGACAGTAGCGGACTTGAGCGAGATAAGTCGATCAATTTGCATGCACTGTATTTTCGTATTTTGTTCAAATAAGGGGATAGACCGTCTAGGGAACCACAATGGAGGTTGCATCTACCCATGATGGAGGTTGTTAAGAAGGAAGGTATCAAGTTGTTGTATGTGAAAGTGATCCACCCTATTTTCGACTATCGATAGGTAAGTCCGACTCAAGTGGTACCCAAGAAATTTGGGCTAACCATAATTCAAAATTACAATGGTGACTTAGTTCCTACTCGAGTGAAAATTTCGTGGAGATTTTGTGTATTGATTATCATAAGTTGAATGTTGTGACATGTAAACCGTTCAACGATCAAATGGTTAAGAGATTGACATTTCACTTCTATTATTGTTTCTTGTATGGTTTTTCAGGATATTTTCATATTCTTGGAGCACTAGAGGACCAGAAAAATATGATGTATATTTGCCCCTGTGGTACTTTCGCCTACCATCGCATGTCATTCAGACTGTGTTAATCTTATAAATCGAATGAAAGTAGAAGTAGATTTTATATGCGTATGACGTTTATTTATTCAGTCCATATTATTTATTTAAAATGATTATAAGTAGATAAAGTTAATCTTATAATTGTCTTGACTTATCCTGTTGGCTAACGTACGGGATGTTTGTACTTTTTTGGGCCATGAAGGTTTCTACAGACGATTCATCAAAGACTTTTCATGAATAGCCTCTCTACTTTGTAGTCTCTTGCAAAAAGATATTGAGTTCAAAGTTGATGGTGAATGTAAGACGTCTTTGACAATTTGAAGGAGCAATTGACAACTTCTACCACTATTCAGCCACCGAAATGTGAATTGTTTTTCGAGGTCATGTGCGATGCTAGTGACCATGATGTTGGTGTCGTTCTAGGCTAGAGGGTGAATACGGTAGCCCATGTGATCTACTACGACTCAAAAATCTTGAATCTTGCCCAAGAAAACTATAGGAACACGCAAAAATAATTATTGATAGTTGTTTTTACTAAGCAATTTTGCTTGTATATTCTTGGCAAAAAGTTATTATTTTTACTGATCACACAACCATCCGATACGTATTCATGAAGGGGGCGAAACTGATAAGTATTCGATGGATACTTTTGCTTTCAGAGTTTGACTTAGAGATTCGAGGCAAGAAGGGTGCCGAAAATTATATGGCGGACCACTTGAGTCGATTGACGTTGTGGAGGAGCAACTTGATCTCAACGAGAATTTTCATAACGAGCGTTTATTCCAACTCAATAAACTCTGACCTGATTCACTATAACTGAGGGCCCTAATAATAGAAAATGAGTCATATGTGATTCACCCAAAGGTACGTCTCGGATGTGGAATTTTACTTTGCATTTGACAGACTTTTTGGTTCCAAGCATACATCCCACAAGGTCCTCAAGAGTGGATTTTATTGGGCGAGCATATTCAGGGTTGCATGCGATTTTTGTAAGTTATGCGACAATTGTCAAAGAACATGTAATATTTCAAAAAGAAATAGGGACGAATCCAAAAATTATGAGTAGATTCGGCTAGAATTTTCAATACTCATTTTCATAAAAAATCACACAATATTTTTTCTTTAAATATTCACTGAAACGAGCTTTTACAGAATTAAATTTATAAATAATAAAATTTATACTTATAATATTAGTAAACAAGTTTGATGGAACGAATCAAACAATATTGGAGAAAGCCATCACGTGCATCACGGGCAGCGACTAGTGCACATGAATAAAAAGGTGTAAAATAAATTTACACATTATTTTTTTTAATTTTTATTTTTTCTTCAAATTCATAAAATTTTTTACTAACTTCTAAAAGTCGATGACTCAATTTCCCTTCACGAATTATTTGAACTCCTCACATCACACTCCATTGTTCACGGGTAAGGGGCTGCTGTGAGTCACTTAAATTGCCTCTGCTGAACATCTCCAGATTGCTCCGCCGCCATCAGAGCATATTCAACTTCTCAGCCGCCGCCGGCAGGTCGAGCGGACAAATGTTTCAGCTGAAAACCGACCCGCTTACCGGAAAATCCGAGTGGATCCTCATCGAGGACGACGAAGGAGCAGACAATGGGAAGAACCAAACAAACCCAAAAGCCCTTCTTTCTACAACATCGTATCTTGACATGCTCAACGATAGCCGCCGCAACAGTGCTTTTAATCGGGCCATTCAGAAGACCGTCACTAAACCCTGCCACGTTCTTGATATTGGGTACTCACTAAACCCTCTTTGCTGTCTATTCGCAATTATTAGCGTGTAATTTGAGCAAAACTGTATGTGACTGCCAATGTTGAGGAACCAGCATTTATACTGCTCATTTGCTGAAATTTGGATAAAAAAATGAAATTTTAATGTTTAGATAAATTGTGTCTGTAAATCGTCCCTGGTGAATCCGTTAGTGTCGCTAAAATGAGCCAAAAAAAATTTCTTGGTGAATATTAGTGAATCACTGGTTGAAGATTAGGCGTGCCTATTGTTTTGAACAGTGCAGGAACAGGTTTACTGTCAATGATGGTGGCTCGGGCCATGGGCTTTTCTGATTCGAATGGGAACTCTACTCCATCTCGTATGGTGACAGCTTGCGAGTCATACCTTCCCATGGTGAAGTTAATGAGGAAGGTTCTCAAGGCCAATTGCTTGGATAGCAAAGTACGCATCATAAACAAGAGGTCAGATGAGCTGGAAGTTGGTTTGGATATCCCTTCACGTGCTGATATTCTTGTGAGTATCTTTATGATATCTTTGTTATTCTTTGGGGCCATGAAAATCCTTGCATTGAGTAGAGTGTTGTACCTTTAGTTAACATTGAGTCCTGGCAGCATGTCAAAAATCTTAAAAGAACACTATAATTGAATCGGAATTTTGTTCTCGGTAGTTTATGATATAATTGCTTCTTACACTCAAGTACAAGTAGCAACTGTTTCTTTTCTCCTTTTAGGAAGGCTCAACTTTGAACTGCATTGGTATAATTACCCCCGATTTGGAGATCATTCTTCCATCACTTCTACATAAAAGAACTTTAGCAGCTGGATTCGTACTTCATTTATGGATGTGATTGTAGCTTTAGCTTGCTATTTGTGGTTAAACGGCATTGCAATGCAGGTTAGTGAGATCCTGGACTCAGAGTTATTGGGTGAAGGTCTAATTCCAACTCTGCAACATGCACATGACAAACTATTAGTGGACAAACCCCAAACGGTACCTTACAAGGCTACGACTTATGGTCAGGTAATTGATCAGATTTAGCATGATCTCCAACAGTATAGATGTCTAGCAACTAATCTTTTTTGGTTAACTAACAATAGCATTTTATGACTTTGGAGATGATTTTAACCTGAAAAAAGAAAGAAAAAGTAAGGTAAGAGTATTCTTTCTTGTGCATTTATAAATTGCAATTAATATATATATATATATATATATATAATGCGTCCTAGCTCTTTCAATGGCATGCATAATAAACTGATCTGGATGTTGCTCGTGGACACATAAATTTATTTATATTTTTGTATCATTATAATATTCTTTATTCCCTTCAGCTCGTTGAGTGCTCATATCTTTGGGAGATGCATGATTTATTGAGTAGAGAGACGGAAGCATCGGATGGCATTTTTCTTGTTCCGAGTGGGACGGCTGATCTTTTAGGTGTTAAACAGAAACAACTTGCGATGCATTGTGATGCAATTAATGAAGAAATCAAATTGGTAATGGGCCGAATGGCAATATGATTACTAACATAATTTAACTCTGTAATATATATATTTTTTTTTCCTTTGTTTTATGTCAGCAAATGTCTATTTCAAGTACATTCTACTTAATGTGGTACCTTTTTCCAGCTGTCAGAGCCCTTCAAAGTTTTCGATTTTGACTTCTGGAGAAGGCCAGAAAGTTTTCGTGAAACTGAGTTGCAGATAAATGCTACAAATGACGGTACTGTTCATGCCATAATTTCATGGTACCTGATATGACACGTCGCTTAATGGATTCAACTTATTATCCAAGTTCTCGTTTTTATTCCCATGAATACCACTGGTTGTTATAAGTAATACTAATTTTTCTTCTTTCAGGTGGTTGCTTCAGCTTGATAGTGAAGGAACAATCTTCTATTCTACTGCACCAAATTGGCTAGATCTAGGCTCTTCTAAAGAGGAGTTAAAATTATCCCCTCCTGGTAAGGTTTAATTTCGGCAGATATTTCTTCATTCTCTTGAATAATTAACAAATCTGGATACTGTTTGAGCAACTGATCAAGCTTTTGTGACACTTGTTTAAAAAAAAAAAGTTCATAGTGTGGCCATTATTTCTTTTTATTTTTTAATTATAGGATCTAGATGTTGGTGTGACCATTGGAAGCAAAGTGTTTCGTTCACCCTAAGCTCTGGTCTTCATGTGTTTAAAGATCAAGAGGTTCGGTTACATGCTGTCCATAATGAAACAAGCATCTCATACGAATTCAAGAGTTCAGATGAAAAGAAAGAGGTCGCACATTTTGACCCGTGCATCCAGGACAATCAAATTGCTCTGACTCCGGAAAGAATTGCTTTATATGGAACTAGAAGTTGGAGGAGTTTAATGCTTAAAGCTGTTGAGAAAGCTGTAAGTTCTTTTCGTTCTCGATGGAGTATAATCATCAATCACTTAATCTTTCCAAGTTTCCACCAAAATGACTCGTAAAACTAATATGTAGCTTAACAATTGCCTGCTATTTGCTGCATTCTGAAAGTTGTTGCTTTTTTTGTTTTCAGTCCATTCATTTTTTTATCTATTCCTGGCTTTCAACATTCTATAAGGCTTTTAGCTCGTCTATTCAATTTTATATAATGCTTACTTTTTTTTTCGAGCTCGAGATAGGAACGGTTATATAAATTGGAATTGATGCTCCCTAAATATGATATCATTTTTTTTTTACTTTATTGTTTTCACTTTTCTAGATATGATCTCATATTACTATTTTACTGCCAATAGAATTCCTGTCCTGCTAGTTAGGCTTTGGACTTTCTTAAGTATTTCGCCTAAATCTTTTAGAAGGGTTGAACTTTTTTTTTTTTTTTATTTCTGTACATATGTTGATCACACTGTGAAGTATGTTACGTTTCAATATTTTCTTAGCTCAAGTTTTTCGTCTATTAGTTAACTTCATCCCCTTTTTCCTTTCTGTTTTTTTCTTCTTTTTCTTTTTTCTGTCTCAGTTGCATCAGATAGTAGATCCATTATGTTTAGTTGCAGATGACAGCATTTTCTTGACAATTGCCGTGGCCAGTGTTTCTAAGAATGCACATGTCATTCCATTGTTTCCTGGACTTGGAAAGAAGGGTTTGAAATATCTACGAAGAGTCTCTGCAGCAAATGGTTACACTATGGATCGTGTGCACACGTTAAAGGACTTGCATCTGACCCAGCAGGATTCAAGAATGGTAAATAACCAATATATTTTTTTAATTTCTACAGACTTTTATTGGGCTAATAAAAAGAGAAACTAACGAAACTAACTTATGGTGTTCTGCCATGTCTGCTTGGCCTTCTGTCATTTGTTATGCAGATTAACTTATTGATTGCGGAGCCATTCTATTATGGAAATGATAGTGTGCTACCCTGGCAAAATCTGCGGTTTTGGTATGTCGTTCTTCCGACATTAACTTGTGGTATTGACGATTATGAAATTAGTCATTGTTTTCCCAGAAAGATGGGTTTTTTTTTCACATTCTTTTTTTTTCCCACTTTTTTACACTATCTTTTGCCTTTTGGAAATACACTTGAGTGGGTAAGTTTTTTTAGTTTTATGATTCTATCTTGTCGACCATGCAAACATAAAATGGAACTTAATATTATCAGCTTCTCTATTTTAGAAACAAGTCAATCCTTTTGAGACAGGAGTAAAAGATGGACTTAGGTATGGCATGTTTTTAATTTGATATTGGTCGCATTTGTGTTCTCTAGGAGGGAAAGAACTTTGCTTGATTCCAGTTTATCAAAAGATGTGCGCATTATGCCTTGTAGAGGATTGTTAAAAGCTTGTGCTATGTACCTCCCTGTAAGTTTGCAAATCAATAATAATACTTTGCTAAAATTTATTTCGATGCAATGGCATATGATTAAGAGACAACAAAATATATTCTGCAGGATTTATGGCAAAGTCGACGTAGCCTTCAAGCAGTAGAAGGATTTGATCATACGATGGTGAATACCACATTAGGGGCATGCGGAGATTTGCCTTTTGCAGAAGATGGTCCATTTTTGCCCGTCTTTTACTGGCAGTGTGGGGAGAGTAAGGTAGTCTCGTTTATTTTATTTGTATTCGTTTATCTATATTTTTCTTCTTTAATGATCATTTTGTTGTGAATTGTGATACTTGATTCAGGTACTCTCTGAGACGGCCACTATCTTGGAGTTTGATTTCTCAAAACCGATGAGCTCATGTACCAAAAAAACTCGGGTAAATCGTAAATCATCTCCCTTCCTTCTCTAAATATTCACAAGTGGAGATCACAACTTACCCCCCATCACCTTGTAATCAACTTTGTTTTAGGTTCAATTTACGGAAGTTGGAGAGTGCCACGGTTTTGTTCTTTGGATCGACTGGATCTTGAATGAAGAGGACCATATCATTTTGTCAACAGGGCCAGGTTTTGGTTGAATAGATTTTATTTATTAATGAGGAATCAATTGATGTAATTGTTGCCAATCTTTTTTTTTTTCTCCGCGTACTATTTTCAAAATCTACATTTTTTTTTTTTTCTCAAATAACATAATTACGCATGAAAGATCTCCTGATTGTTTTTAGATAAAAGACACTGGAAACAAGCTGTGAAGCTTTGGAAGAAGCCTGCTGAGATTAGACCCGGTAATTTATCCTCAACGGAGGTCGAAGCATTCTTTGATCCATCCAACGGTGAACTCATCTTGAAACATGAATTCTTGACATAGAACAAAAGATAACATGTCACGAGGTGATGTGGTGTAGTTTGCCAGCGTTCAATGGACAACTTACCCTAAAACGTCCGAATTTTGTCTCTTATTTTAGTATCATAACTCTCAACAGTATAATTGAGGCCTTTCCAGCTAGTAAAAGCATCCAGTGTTTTATTCTACGTACTTTATTTTGATTACTGAGAAAAGTTGTTGGGCGATCATTGGATGGTTGTGACTTTGCATTTATCATTCTTTAACGATTAATTGCATACATCAAGAATTTTTATAAAATTGGAGCTAATCTCGTGATTTGGTGTACTATCACTTCCGGAATATAATTTAATCACTAATTGTGACTTTCCAGAATTTTTACAATTTAATCTCTCTCTCTCTCTCTCTCTCTGCGCCATAAAACCTGATGATGAGTTTAGGTACCCACCAGTACAGACGCGCACACAAAAAATGGCACACACAGAGTTCTCTATCAACTTCAACAGTTGAACAATAAATTAAAGATTAAGCACTCAGTTTTACCCAGGCTAACAATTCAACACAACATTAAGAACCTAATACAATTTTCTCTTCCAGTTTATTTAACCATCTCAGTCCAAGATCACATCCTGCAGTGGCAGCAATTTCGAATTGTTCTCTTGCTCTCTCAACTGGATCAGTCTCCAGACTTCCAGCATCCTTCCGCCTTTTGGGAACCGATTTCTTCTCAAATCTGGTCACCGACTCAGGAAGCTGGACCCCTAAAACAGTTTGTAGCGTAAAATGTCAACTAACAAACGAGCTTAAACCAAAAGATTACCAAAACACGTACAGAAATGAAGTATTGACTTCCATGGTAAAGAACTAACCTCTAAGGAGAAGGGATCCACAGGCTATAGCAGCACCAGCATGGCCCTACATAAAATTTGACATTAAGTTATGTTGTTTAATGCAAGGCTTTTAAAAAAGCTGTCAAGTACTAACTCATAACTAATATCTTTCAGAAGCCAGAAAATTTATTCAGACCTTTGCTGTTGCATAATAGTAGTTAGTTACATCTTAATAAGAACATACTTAAACTATACCTTCTGGGATGCTTTGTGGAAACACCATATGGCAGAAGAAACATCTTGGCTAACACAATCCCCGGTTAAATATACGGCTCCTAAGAGGTATAGAGCACCAGGATGCAGCTGTAACCAAAACAAGTTTTTAACAACATTTGAAAAACCGAGATCATAGTAAAGCATTTGCAATAATAAAAACAATATAATTGGTATGGTTGGGTTGCACAAACTACCTGGTCAACTGCCTTTTCCAGATAATAGAAAGCTTGCTGATCGGATTGTACATAAGGATTCTGCCATAATTTTGGAAAAACAACAAGATACTGTTAACCACAAATAAAACTATCCTTTATGAATAGGATAAAGAATTGAAAGAATGTGATTGCTGACTCTAATATATTAATCATGAAGCCAGGACTGGAGTGGACTAGAGAGGAACTAGAAGAACTAGTTCTCCTTCAAACCATAATAAATATAAATGTCATTTAGCTTCCTCATCCCCCTAACATATAATTCGCGAATGTGCTGAGCCTAAGTGGCAGACTCGCATGCTTCGGGATCCTATGTGGCAAAATTTCATGCTTCATTATTTGGCTTGGATAGGTTTTAATTACGTCCAATCTAAAAATAATTAAGTTTGGATTATCCATAGATATGTTGATTATTTATGTTCATTTTAGATGTATTAATTGAATTTTAATATTATTTTCTATTATAACATTGTAACTGGTGTTTTAAAAATTAATAATTTTTGTATTACATATATAATATATCAAATTAATCATCTCTTGATGAGCTTCAATTTGATATTTATATTGTATGTATAAAATAAATAAATTATATTTATATTTATAATAATAATAAAATTATTTCTTGATATTAATTAGAAAAATCTTTATCAATTAATACATTTATGTTTAAAGTCCTGTTAAATGGTGGTAAAATGGTGGTATAAGTAGAAAAATTATTATAATATAACACAAGTAAGTCCCACAAGTAACAAGTGTCATTCTAAAATATATAATAATATAATTTTTTTGTAAAAAATATTTAAATTTTAAAACACTTTTCTCATTAACTTTAAAATTTAAGAAAATTTTTTTTTTAACAATCAACCCTGTAATACACAGGTATTGTACTAGTTTGTAGTTATATTTATCAACCTACGGTGTTTGCTACAATGTATAGTGTAAAAAACAGGGGCCTGACGATGTAGAATTTATACTGCCGAATCCCCAATTCACTGAGTTGTCTTGAATAACTCGGCTGGCTTGTCCAACTGGGTGAACAAAGGAGTCTTTAAGCATAAAAAATGCAGGCAACTATTTCCTAAAGAGACAAGGACAAACTACTATAAAAATGCTACTAAAAAGTCTTGGGAAATATCAAAGGTTCTATGCACCGGCCAAATCCCTTTTGTTCCAGATGGGTAGCATAACTTCATCAAAGATGATTGTCTTGAGTTCAAGTGAGCCAAAAATGTGTGTGTGTGTGTGTGTGTATACATATATATATATATATATATATATATATATATATAGTTTATAGCTGCACAAAGTTTAGGGTTTATGTGTTTTCAAACCAATAACATTTTTTTTTGGGTTCGTTAGGGAATCTAACCTCAGCTCTTAGGCGGCAGCCTAGTTCGTACTGTGCATCTGGATTGCCCATCTCCGCAGCTTCCACTAACAATGCAGCTCCTCTGTTATAATAATTCAGGGCAGATAAAAGTTTATTTGAGAGGGAGCAGAGTATAAGTTCAACGATATATACAAAAAATAAGAATAGAAAAGATATAGGCCTCGGCTTATCTTTAGGCCAATTGTAATCAAACTCAAATGTGAAAAATATAGGACTCGGCTCCAAGGACAAATTATGACAGGAACACAAGCTATTCTTACACAGCTTTATTTGCACCAGGGAAGTGGTGGTATTTGAGATGCAACTTTCCAAGCCAGTATCTGGCATGAGTATTTGAGTTGTCAGCTTCAAGAGCCAACTCAAACTGTTCCTTTGCAGTCTGAGAAGATGAACCAAAAAGTTACCAATGTTGCCCAACAATTTGTTTCAACTAAATCAAGATCTAATTTTACACAGGAGTATCATGCAAAAACACATATAAAAGCAACTCGAGAAGCAGAGAAGGACTAAATGATGCACCATCATTCTATGCAATGGATGAACTAATATTCACCTGGAAACCGACAAATGNATCAGAAGAGTCACCCTACCTAGTCATTATCTTTTCAGTATAAGCGTGTTTGCTTAAAGATTGATACTTGTTCAATATTTGGAAGACAGATAAAGAAACCAGCACAATCAGCTTATCCACAAGCTTAAATAGATGCCCCACTTATTTCACTATTAATCTATTACACAGCACAACCCTTGAAATTTGTATTGAGTATACACATAGTTCTTCACAGTTAATACACAGTTCAGCTTTTCGGGTCACCACATGTTGCGAAAGCTCGTATTAATTTGTATTCAAAACACACATACAAACACAAAGAAAAGTACCTTAAGATACGGAATGAGACGCTTGTCGTAAAGTTCGCAATAATCAATAACTCTGTCGACTTCCTGCACAGCACTAAACCCTTTGGCTATGAACTCCATTGCCTTCTTATTCCTACTGTGCATTCCTCTCTGCTGCAATCAAAATTAAGGAAAAGACGAGTAAATCAAATCCACAGAAATGGAAAAATAAAATGCAATAAACTCACAGGGGCGCAAGAGGTCGATAATATCACAACAACTCACCGAAAATTTGAGCCGTGAAAAGGCAGCAGCCACGGTGCATATCTTCACAGCAGCCTGCCGAGGAAAAGCTCTAAGCATTTTCCCTATGTAAGCAGCAATCAACAGAAAAATTCACAACCAAATTTTGCCAATTTAGAAGAAATTCAACATAAATAAAAATAATAATAATAATAATAATAATAATAATAATAATAATAATAATAATAATAATAATAATAATAACAACAACAACAA